TTCAGTTTTACATTATGATGTGTACAGCCCTTCTGTTGTAGTGGGTATTTATTTTTTTTTTAAATTAGGTACCCTTCTAACACTGCTCAGAAAACGCACATATGCACACACACAGTCCACTTAGTGAAGAGGACAAGGAAAAAGCAGATATAGAGCAGTTTAGATATCTGTGAGGTTCAAAAGTCTGCAAGGTTTTCTTTAAAAAGTTACTAAGCACATTTACTTTTTAAATAAAATCTTACAGACTTAAATTCTCTTAATTTATCTTTATTCCTCTTGCAGTTACCTCAAGAACGTACTTAGCTACAAGGCAAAAGATGCCCATTTTTGCCACACAAGCATCCAACACTGCAATACTCGATTCACAGTACATGTCATCCATCAAACCATATTTTAAGGCATCTCTCATCTCATTAGCTCTCTCAACAGCTAATAGTTGGAAAAATAATGATTCTCAAGAAGAAAGGATAAAAATATTTAACTGATGGCTGTAAGTTAAATGTAGCTAATTACTTGGTCTTAAGCATTAGCCAGAAAACAGATTTGTGAAAAGTATATAAATTTAAAGAGTAGTATATACAAACACTAGGAAAAAAAACATAGCTGTCTGAAAACAGAATTGAAAACTGTGCATTTGCCTCGGGAAAAGGCAGTGAGACAAGATTAATATGATTCATTTCAAGTAGAGAAACATCCTGATATATTTGGATCAAACGAAAGATGAGTATCAGTCAAAACTGCAGTAGCCCAAGCGACAAGTTTCATTACAAGTTTTAGACCTCTGATGTAAAGAGTAAAGTTTTAAAGGTCAGAAGTAGTTCCTGAAAAAAAAGGAACATACCAACTTTACAGAAGATGGATACTGAGAGACTGAAGATGTGCTATTACTCAGAAAAGCACGACTTTTGGATGTAGTAAACTGAAGGATGTTAAGGCACATGCCACAAAGACGCACAATGATCTCCGATATAACACATGCCAACTAATTGTAGAAAACTGACTTCCAGTGCTACAGCAAGCCAGAAACACTAAGCACTTAAAATCCTATTTTCAGATCTAGCAACCCCAAGACATGATACCATATAACCATGCAGCAGGGAGTATACTCTATTTTTATTCCTTGACGAAACACAGCAGTTCAGAACCCAGAGCCCGAAAAGCTTTCAAAGTTCACAGAAAACAGATTATTTCTAAGGGGGAGCTGTAAAACACGATTAAACTCTCCCTTTCTGAATACAGCACATAGAAATCTGTACACGGCAATTTCAGCACACCTGCACTACGGCAGGAAAAATTCAGGGGTTTACAAATAAAATGGCAGGAAAAAAAATCACTGATCTAATGCATACAGTTAAAAATGTATCTTTACATTTAGTCTTTAGGAAAGACTTCCACTCGTTTACTCAAAGAGCTAACTCTTCAGGATGTCCTCAAATTATTCTGTTACAGTGGGAGGAAAAAAATAAACTGGTGCACACCAGTTTGCTAATACAATGTTTAAGAAAGTCTTGTTAAGACTAAGTGCAAAATATAAAAAGTGTTTCTACCAGTAAAGTAGAAATGTTATGTTAAGGTTATGTCAACGTAGCCGTGCTAGTACAGAAAAGCTGTGCTGGCATCCAGTGTCACAAACTCACCCCATACTAAGGATACTGTACCAAAAAAAGGTGACCCCCCACTGAAGAGTTGTAACAGCCCTCAGAAAACTTGTCTGGACAATATATATAGAATTACCATTCTTTTTCACAACAAGTGTAACATTTAGATAGAAGAGAAAAAAAGAAGTTGTAGAAAACCCTCTGGCAGTTGAGGGGAACCCACACAGTCCTGCTCCTGAAGCTGTTCTAGAACTACACAGCATGTAAGAAAAAAATGAGACCATCCAAAATTTCTAATATCCTACATGGCACTGACACTACCAAGACTTTCTAAATTACTTCAAAATGTTTATTACTAAATGTGCTACAAACACTTCAGTTTCCCTGTAAGTCTATGCTATTCTTGCTTCCCAAAGAAGGAATTGGCACTAATAAAACAACTCAAAACTCCACTAATGCAGTACGGTCTATGGCGAAACAAATTCTGAGCAGGGAACACACGAACCATTTAAGACTTTTAAGACAGAAGGAGGTGCAGCTCTGCAACGACAGTGGGAAAGGCAGCTATATTTGGCTGCTGCATATAAATCAAGTGCATTAGGACAATCTTTGCCAACTTTTTAGAAGAAAACCACCAACATTTAAGTTTAGTACATTCCAAGTCCAGCACACCGGTATCATCCAGGTCTACTGTGAAAACATGGGTGAAGTGGAGACTTAACTCTAGTCTTCAATATAAATACATTTAACATCTGCAAGTTTGGGAATAGGTTACCTAGGGTCAGTCACTGCTTTCAGGTATGTCACAAGCTAAAACAGCATTTCAGATTAAGAAATTAGTCAAAAAGTTAAAAGTAAAGGAAACACACTGAAAGACCCACTCTGCACATGTGCTGGAAAAAGTTTCATCAACAGTGCAAGTTTCTAACCTTTCTTCTTCCCTATCTCTAATGATGCTGTAAATCTAAGAGTTTTAAAAAGAGCGCTTGAGTAAGTACATAAGCACCACGTTATTTATTTTCTATAATTAACTAAGGAGTGGGGACAATACAATAGATTCTATAAGTGGAATTTACTTCATGAAAGCTGTTTGCGCTATTTCAAAGCGAATTTAAGGAACAGATAAGTTTTTAAAAAGTGCAAACTTCAAAGCAAGTTTCCCACAACAGCAAAAGTGGGACAAAAAAAAATCCGCAGTCTCTCAAGCAGCAGATGACAAAAATAATCCTCAAAACACACTTTAGTAGGTTTGATTTCATTTAGTTAGAGAAACAGGTATGATATCATATTAAAAAACCACAGAAAGTAGAACTGTCCCAAATCCAGATCATAAGTTGGCAACAAAAAAAAAACTCCAGAGGAATAAGAATCCATTAAGTTTTTTACATAGCATATATGAAATGTCCACACCACTATAAACCTCTGCAGAGCTATCAGGGGATGACAATCTCAACCACTTTGAGAAAAAACTATCGCATTTGTGCACTAGTGAAACTGTTCAACAATCCCTAATATTGCACCGTAACTGTAAAAAGTTCCTTTATGAAGCTGCTCAGTAAGCTAACAAAACAGACCAAGCATTCCGTGGAAATCTGCACCTGTTAAATTGAAACACACTCACCAACTATCCAAACCTTATTCGATCGCAAATGTCTTAACTTGGATACATGCACTCACCTGAATCAAAAATTTGCCTTTAACTTTCATATTTTTTTAAGTATCTGGACTTCTCTCAAAATAGATCTTCATTTCACCTCTCTAAACAGTGTAAGATAACCACCATCAAGACAAATTAATACTGGTAACTATTGAAATAAGTACTGGTTTCCAAGACTAGCACAAAAAAAAAAAACCAACCCAATAACTTGCTCTGGCTGAAGAGCAGCTGCTCCAGTTCTCTTCTACTCTCTTCCTAGATACCTGTTGATATTAGGAATAGCCATGTCCTCCAGTCACAACATCATATTGCTGGTATGTAATACACTCTAAACGTTACACACGAACTTTTCAAAACTAATACATCATTCACCAAGAAGAGAGAAAGCAAAAATTCAAAACTGTGAAGATGATTCCAAGCAGAATCACATCCACTGCTCAACCAAAAACCAGCTACTAAAACCTTCTGTTTACTGTCAAATGAAGAACTTTTTTTAAAAAAATTTAAAACCAAAACAACCAACTCTTCCTTTTTCTTGCCAGCTGCTAACTGCACTGAACAAGACCACCGGTGGCTTCAGAAATGCCACCACTCACCAGACTTTGGTAGGAGGAGACCTCCTCCATATACCACAGATCTAAAGTGAGTTCAAAGAAACTCCTGTGGGACAGGTAACCAAGTCCTCTCATAGCAAAATGACACCAAATACTCATCTGCTTCACAAGAAGCATTAAAAAGCTGAACAGTCCTTTGTTACTCTCTCCCCTCTCCCAGCACAACCAGTTCATATTTGCTAGGGATTGGGACACCTAAGATTTCCAGCCTCTAGCTTGCCTTTCACAGCATCACCGAAGACCTTTTTGCAGGACTGCAGAGAAGTCCCTTTATCTTCACAGCCCTGAAGTCTACAGGGTAATTTCAGACATTTTGGTCTCGCAGCAAAGAAATGGGAGATGCAAGACGAACTACACTCCATATTGATTCTTAATGCAAATAAGATGAAATAACATTTCATTTCTAAGATGAGAGACTCGGTAAACCTTATGCCCCAAGCTTAGGATCTGGATTTTGGTTTCAGTTGGTTTTTCCTAAAGTCGATGATCTATTCGAATCAGAAAAGCAGTTTTTAGGTATCCTTCTGCAAGGAAGAGTAAGAAGGATCATAAAAAGTAAATCAAATAAGCAGACTGCATGTAAGAAGAAAAAGAGAAAAACAGCAGAGAAATAAATCTCATTTCTAAATGGGCTGGAGAAAAACCTTGCACATGCAAAATAAAGTAAGAAACGAGACATATCCGTGTGTACAAACGCACACACGCAATTCAACAATGAAGTGTACAAAAGCATCATCTTTAACACTATTTCACATGTTTCTGCAACTGGCATTAAACATACATGCTTCGCACGGAGCTCAGTAATAACTACTATTGTGAAAGACACGAAAATGACAAACTGTTAAGTCTTATCCGCAGTTGATCAAAAGCGCAATAATCGGAACAGCTTTGCTTTCAATCACTTCCAGAAAAATAAAAGAGCAGAAACACTCGAACACCCTCCCTCTGCCATTAACGCCAATAGAGGTTCAAACAGAGCGAAAACGGGAGAAACAGACAGACAGAAAAGAGGGAGGCAGACACGAGTTAACAGCAGCCAAAGGGAGGAGGAGATTTGGGCAGAAGAAGGGAGAAAAAGGCAGTAATTGCGGCATGGAGAAGTGGGGAGGGCCTGGGCCCCCCGAGACTGACCTGTGCCGTCGCTGGCGGACACGGAGAGCGCCGGTGAGGAGAGTTTAGGCCGCTTGGCTGAAGGCGGGCCCGGCTCCACCACATTCTCGGCCATTTTTAATTCTTTTTTAGACAATCACTCGGAGCAAGGAGACGCTGGGGGGGTGAGTGAGCCCCAAGACCTTCACCTTCTTCTCGGGCCCCGATTCAGCTGAAGAACAACAATAACGCCGAAAGCGAGCGAGGAGGATCTGGCGCAGGAGGGGGGCCAAGTTCCCCTTTTTCTGCCCCTCGGGCTCCGGGAGGGCGGCAGCGGAGAAGCAGGGAGAAGGTGGGAGCTGGGGCGGGGTGGGGGGAGAAAGAGGCCTATTCCCCCA